ACCATTCTTTGGAAATAAATTGTTCTCAATCATGGCAATCGAAATTGGCGACGCGGTACTCATTCTTGATTCGATCAAAATCAACGAAAAGTTCGGTGGGCGCCATGCTGCTGCCACCCAAACGCAGCGGACGCACTTGATTTTCTGACGAATTGAAGCTGCGTTTCGCGACAGAACTCGAAGCGACATGGTGGCATAAAAAATTACGCTTGGGGCAGTGCGGTAAATCGTCAACTTTCTTGTGGAAACATTTTCGCCGAATTCCTCACTCGAAAACTCCGTAAAGCTCTGTTATGAGGAATAAACGGCGTCATCCAACGCGCGAACAGCAATAAGCATGTTCACGATAATGGACTCGGTCAATGGTTTTCTGCATGAACAAAACAGCCAATGTGTTGCCGGCTTGCGATAAACTAGGAAACAATTTGTCTTCATGGTTCCGCAACACTGAGTGCAACCTCGGTACTGAGGCAGGTAAGTCAAAAGATGACGTTTCTACAGGATTAGGTACCGAGTGGCGAGCTGGAATGGAGAATATTTCGCGACAGGTGAAAAAGTTCTGTCGTGACGTTTCGTCATTTCCTCACTCCTCGAGGCGTAGGCCAGTCATGTTTTCTTTTGTGAGTCGGAACCATGCGTCGAGAAAATTATTCCCCGAATATACTCATAGAACACTCGACAGAGAGGAATGAATCCTCAAAGCAACAATCCACTCACAAGAGTGCATGGAAATAGCATGCCAAATGATGCTTGCTTCCATTGACTGAATTCGCAAGAACTCCGGGGTCCATAAACAAGAACCTGAGGCCAGTAGCATGTATGTGGAGTGCGCCGTCGGAAAAGAAAAGCAACGCATTCGAATGTGGCTTATTTTTATTCCTTTTCATACTTCTTACACATATTCCTCTTTCGACCCAAATGAGGATTTCCGGACTTCTTCACATCTTTGCTAGTAATTGTATTTTCTGACACCGCTTACAAACCGTACAGGATTTTGGGGCATCACGGAAGGTTTTTGCTAATTTCCGAGGCACACTTCGGCACTGAAAATCTTACAGGAAATCGTTTTCTCACATTCTACGGAAGAGTAATGGCAAATGCCGAAGTTCATGTTTCCATTATCTATCAATCAAAATCGGAAGGGATATATGGAAAATCAAATAAGGAAATTCAGACAATTTCAAATTATTTGGGTTAACTTGAATGCCTTTTTTCCCCATACATAAAAATGAACATTCAGTAACATGCATGATTTGTATTTTACCATTCCGTAGGCATCAAAAACTTTACAAAAGCTACATTTTTTCAAGCAGAAGCATTATTCCAAGCGTCCCTTAATCATGTCCAGCTATCCGGATAGGGAATTGAAAAACCAAAGATTGCTTTACAAAGGCTGGTTTAATGACCCCACAGTGACGGCTCGCTGTAGCATTTATTGCTTTACGCGGGATGCCGGAGAAAGAAGGGGAAATAATGGGAACATTTTTAACTGTCATGTGGTTTGGGCGATACAAGGATATTGCCTTTCCATTCCATTCGGCAGATGAAAATTGAACTTTGGGCACGTGGATCAACGTTGGTGGTTCGGAAATTCCACCCGCCCGAAATTTCAAGCTCGCTTGAGCAATGTGTCCGTCCGCATTGAATGACGTTTCTTTGTCGAGCTGTGCGCTTTCCACAGAAGGGAATCGTTTGAATGCTCCGAGCCGCGACTCTTTACTACAGGATGCACCGGAGCGGAGAAATGGTTGGTTCAAAGACACTTTATTTTTCTCTCGCTTTTCCGCTCCCTTCCTGCTTCGATCGCGCCCAGTTGAAAGGAACATATTGCTGAAGTGGTTCTACGTAGTAAATGTCGCCTCCTCTGGACGGATTCCGAGCACATTCCGGCGATATAGGCGGTATCGTGGGAGGAAACGCGACGGCGTCCCAGTGGCCGCCCAACAAACGGGATCAAGTCCAAACGTCGGGTTCTCGCTCACATGCGAAGCTTGCAGCCGGGTTGACAGCGTCGTGACTTCCTGCCAATATTGAGCAGGGATCCGAGCCTCGCTTCATCTGGGTACTGCACAGACCCGCGGTTTGCTCGAGGTGCAGGGATATGAAATAATCCATGCGGGGTATTACGCGTCCCTGCCCGATACCGCGGTATCTGACCGGGAGATCTTCCCGTCTCTTGTGCGCCATCCGGGGACGACCAAGTGGGAAATTGGAGTGTCGGGAAACATGTGGGCCTGCGTTTTGTTGGCTTTCCCCGACTCTTCCGGGAAATGAGCTTCTCCCCTTGTTGAGCAGCGTCTGCGTCTGCGAGAAATAAAAAGAGACTAGAGGGCTAGACACATTTTATAATCAAATTCAGGATACAGAGCCTTGGTCACATTATGACCTGGTGCACATTCTCGTTTGCCGTTTTCTGCAAAACCCGTGGTGAATCTTGTTGATGCACCCTAGTACTGAATCTATGGTGCTTATTTTTTAATCCGGTGTACAGTAACCCGCATCATTCCCAATAACGGTGCTCCGACGAGGAAAAGTGCGGTACCGGGCATGTTTAAGACGCCGCCCTGACTAACACAGTGTGGTCTGCACTAAAACGAAGTCTGAAATGTGTGCTGACATGCATTCACCATAAGAAACAACCGGAATGCTTGAAGCTGGTCAAATTAATTGCTTTATCGGTTAAAATTACTTCAAAAGCTTTAATAATCTTGCAAAGTTTTGAAAACTTTCTGTTGGATCCTTCACAGACGGAACGCGATTTCCGTCAATATTCTTGCGAACGACGCATTTTATCTCCAGCATCGCAATTCTTTCGGGATCTATAAGTTTTTGGCCTTCCTGAAATGACTGCCAAAAATCAACATATGATGGAGAAACGCACATGACATCGTTTTAGTTGCTGAGCGCCTTCAGAAATTCGAAATCAAGCATCAAGAGTTCGATGAGACATTGTTATGGGTAGCGAACTGACATTTTCGTGTGATAGTTTTAGAGTCAGAACTTGGTGGGTGATTGACAATAAGTATTGCGTCTCTTGCCAAGTATCTTGTGACGAATCGCATTTCATTTGCATTGATTTACCGTGAACCATTGCGGATTGCTTGGAAACTTTCCAAGATTTTGAATAATCCTGACCTATGTGACAATGATTGGATGCGTGAGATGAAATGCGATTTTGCATATACTGTACGTACTGTACACTCATAATTTGAAAATAAGAGGCTCCGCAGGTCATTCGTGGGTCGAAAAAGACCGGATGGTTTTTTTTGTGATGAATGGCTGAATGAAATATTTCGTGTGTCATTTTCTTGACCAGTGCTCAATTTACCCGTGAAAAATATCAAGCTCGTCCCGTTCCATCTTCCTGCCAAGCATAGGAAAGTTGGGTATATTCTCAGCATCGAAAAAAGGCGTGTAACACGAACTTCATACGATGGGGCCTCTCATCGCTGCTGATGAAGATAATGAACGTATTCAACCGAAAATTGCATTCGTTTCCTTCGGATGCATCGCGTGTGGAGCGGAAAAGTTCCCTTCGGAGGAGGTTTCGGAAAGTTCCGACTACGAGTTCGGAGCAAGTTTTAATGTCGTTTTCCTGCCTGCTAGAGTATCGCCAACTTCCATGCGAATCTATTGATCATTATCTTTTGCCAGCACATTCCCGCTTCATAGCCTGCAAGCCCGTCATTTGCTGTATTTTGCTGAGTAAGTCGCTGTAATCAAATGTCTCAACCTTCGCGAGTTCTGCTCCAATGAACACAGACGCATTTGCTCGGGATTGATTCAGGATCGATCAATGACTTCGCTCGAATGACTGAACATTCAAATTTCAACCCTTATCGCCTGAATTTGGGAATTCCTGAGACTTGAATAATTTCGTCCCTTAACTTCAAACAGATTTCCGTCATAAACTGAGGGGAAACTCGATTATTCCAGTCTACAACACCAGCTCCTCAAATCAACCGAGCAAAATTTTCATTTCATAAGTACAATTTTAGTCTGATGTGCGGCAATACTGTATTCTCGGTCCAAGTTTCTCATGGAAGTTCACCAGACCTTGAGGCCAAAATATAAGGTGTCTTTTTCTGAATAATCGAATATCACGGATGATCGGTTGTTATTAAAATCAACCGGAAAACATTTTTTTTAATGTCTAAAACACTATTACTGTAGCGACATTCCCGCGGATTTCGGATCGAAAAAGGATTAATTATCTCACACATAGAGTCAATTTTGACGGAAGTTCAGCCCTACAAGAAAAGGTAGGCGCAAGAAGGTCATTTGAATAATGAATAATTGAATGAATAGAAAATTAGACACAGAATAACGAATGGGTTCTCTCCCCATGTTGTATAGGTGTTCTCTACGACGAACGTTTTTCGACGAGCAACGATTTTTTTCTTGTTCCCTTGCAGTTCGTTGTGGAGAGAGTCTACCTCACTAGCCATTATTAAACGAATCTATTCACCAATGGCACATTTTTCAGGATTGATTATTCGTGATATTTGATCATTCGGCTGAAGGCTCTCAATAGCCCTGATAATCGCGGCTCAGCTGTAACAAATTGTCTTCGTCCTGTATAGGCTTAATTTGGTCTTCGGGCTGGTCGGAGACTGTGACTAAGACGACGCAGTTCTTAGCTGACCGCGTGCAGATAAATCCGCCACTGCCCCAATTCTGCAATCGATCCCATTTCCCGCAGCACAAATCCGCGCTGGGGGAAGCATCCAGTTGATGGAACTCGTTGAAGAGCAAGAGATCTGCGTTGCTCCCGAAATGAGTGCCGTTTTCGGATCTCCCTTCTCTCTCGAAGCCAGAAGCCATTACGCGCCTCGTGCGAGAATTGAAAAAGGGGATACTCCAGAATCATTTTCTGGCCAGTGACTCCTTCAGTTCGGAGATAAAGGCCAGGAAGTTTGTCTTGGCCTCGGCTTGATGAGTACCGAGGAATACCCTCACTAGGTCGCCATCAACCCCGGGGTCTATACACCCGAATCGCAATGACGCGCCCTCGGCTGTCTATTCCGAGTTGCCGCTGCGAATGCGTTGATCGCCTCGGTTTCGACTCGCGTGCATCTTCCTCATCTGGGCTTTTCTCTTGTCTTCTACCCCGAGCAACAAATCACTCCCGGAGACTTTCTCATTACCCTATTGTCTTCCGGTCTAACTCCGGGCCGTATATTTTTCTTCTTCCTCAGATACGTCGCAAGGTTATTATGAGAAGAAGCTGCTCAACGATCTCCTGGACGAGTACAACACACTAGAGCGGCCGGTGGAAAACGAAACGGACGCGCTTCGGCTCAGCTTCGGGCTGACGCTGATGCAAATTATCGACGTGGTAAGCAAATATTCGAATTCCTCGACTCCGCCGCGGAAAGTGTCTTGCCCCGAACTGCTAAGCAAACATCACATTACACAAGATTGATCGAGCCATGGATTTCCATACGCAGCTGTTCCCTTTTAGCTTCAATACTCCATGCTGCTCGCGTTCGCTCCGTATGTGAGAAAAGCTGTTCTTGGATAGTCAAGATATTCCCTAGAATGCTGAAGTAACGATCATGCTCGCATTCCTATCGGAAACAGACGAGCGGCATACTGTACAATACGAGCACATAGTTCAGGGCATATTCAAGGCAAAGCTTATCGAGATTTGCTTCCGGATGGAGATAAGCGGGAAAAATGTGTTTGTCTCCACTGTAAAGTCGTGTAATGAATGACAATTTTTTATTACGTGTGTTCGCTAGTCGTTGCACAAGTTGCAGTCGTGAGACACCAGATAATCACGTAAAAGCAATCGGAGCAAAATGTGATCACTTTGCATGGCACATTTAAAATGTTACACCGGTGGAGGAAATTGTAGCTATTTCAGTTTTACAACATCATTATGCTTCTTTGTGCTCGTAGTACTGTAATGGATTTGCTTACTGAATCGGAAGGGGAAAAATAAATGTGCGGAAATATTTTTCAAGTGCTTATTTCTTCGCTGAACATTGGTATACTTATTTTTTTAAAGATAAGTTTGGCACTTTAGAATACTTTCAAGTAAGACATCATTGATATTTCTTCATGCATATTTTCGGTATAAAACCATGATATGATGCAATTCATGCAATCTTGATTTTCTGGGCTTCGATTAACATTGCATTCGAAGTATTTTTTTCGATTTTCCCCCATCGGAAGGACCAAACCTGCTCTACTCGTAAGATTTGGATTTGACTATTCGTCTTCCTCCGATTGGCTGGCTTTCATTCTTCTAGTGATCATTTGTAAAGCTAACATCCAGGACGAAAGGAATAATCAAACTTTTATTAAGAGAAATACTGTAAATGACTTCACTTTACGTAGTCATTGTCAAAATGAATCTCACGGACCGCCTCGAATTATTTTTAGATTTGCGGGATTGTTCGTAAAAATAACCTCGTCATTGTTGAATCGTTCTCTAGATCCTCAAGGATTTTAAAACTTCGGATTATCTGTGATATTAGATAATTCTTGGTAACTAGCCCGGCCATAATTGCCCGAGGTGTTCTAGGTTCTGTGTGCAAAGTTGTGAAGATACGTTTGCCGTTCATTATGCTTTAACTTGTTGGTTGTAAGGTGGCCGCAATATGAAGATTATAATTGAGCTAATTTCCGACTTCAATCTGTCGATAAATTTCGTGACAAAATGTGCTGAGTTGTGGCAAAAGTATGGTTGGAGGATTTCTGTAAGATTCATTGAACTAAACGTGAGCATTTTCGACTGAATCACGCGGCAGGATGAAAAAAACCAGGTCATGCGGACCAACTGTTGGTTGAATTTGGTGAGTTCGGCCGGCATATTTCTCATAAAGCCTGGCGGATAATAACTCGAGACAAGTTTTCTCCCTCTATAGTGCTATGTTCTCGTATACTGTATGGGAGGTTTGCACGTAGCTTCAAACAGAACTCTAAGAAACTTCCCGACGCACTGAGCGAGGCCGATACATCTTGGTCGTTATCCCGCAACGGGAAGGTGTTGGAATAGTTGATCGTTGTAAAATGGCACAAATAAATATGAGATGAATTTCGATAAGCCTAAACCCCCACGAAACTTGCTTGACACAAGCTAAGCGTGCTTGTGGTGCACGCGATGTTTGTCTGCTGGTTCGAATGCCGGAAAAAACTCCTTCATCGGTCGGCACCTGTGTTCGGCTTATGGTGGAAATTCAAATTCTTTCTCGTTGAGGAATGAATCCTCTGGAAAACTTCATAATTGTGCTGTTTGCACCAACGCTGTGTTGCTTGCTGCGCTGTTGTGTCTGATCATCTGGAAAGCTGCTCTTGTGACTACCGAACGTTTCTCATTGACGAAATTTTCCGCAACTTCTGCTTTATTCTTCACTATTGAGACTCCACGGACAATTTCAAAATAATGCAGGGTACCAAATGGACCTGATGGCTTTATATTTTTCAGTCGAACAACGGTCAGAAGCTTTTTAATGAGGCGTTCGAAATATGTTTTTTAAACATGTGTTGCAGATAAAACAAAAGAGAAATACAGTACTTCAATCGTTATTCTCAAAGTGCATGTACTTTACAGTACTTCTGCGAAAACTCTCCGCAGAAGGAATATTGCAGCTCGCAGCCCCGACAATCTACGTTTCATTCAAATTTCAGTGAAAAATCTCACGAAAGAATATGTAAAAGGCATTTGTTGGAGGTTGCCGGAATTCAAAATTTCCAGATGGGGAACGTTCAGCCGTTACAAGTACCCCATTCGTTTGAGCGTGATGCAACTGATGTTCTATTATGCTCCTTGACCATGTTCTTCTCACCTTTTTACACTTTCAAGGACGAGAAGAACCAGCTGCTTATAAGCCTTATCTGGTTAAACCTGGTGAGTTAAACAATTTCGTTAAACCGGATAGTCGGGGAAAATTGGTGGTGCATTGGTTCTCCTTAATGCAATGCGTTTGGCTCATTCGTTTGTGTCTATGTAATCAGATTTCGTGCTGATATATTCATTGACATGTCTGATTCACCCTAGAGATCGCTCTTAATTTCATTTACCCTGAAGTTGGCTTTTTCCTATCCACGGAGCAACGCTTTCCAACCCTCATTTCTGTGCTTCCATCCACGCTTGAATTTTGAGGTAGTGGAGATTGATTTTTCTAAATTAAGCAAAGTTGCTCCTATCCCATAGATTTATGATTCTGGCGCATACTTGTTTCAATACGGTTCAATAGAGCAGGGCTTTTCAACCAACCTTCTTCTGGAATTTACCAGTGTCGATGCAGCCCCTCTGTTGGGCCCCAAATTTAGGGTTTTAATTTAAATTATAATAATATCTTTACGTCGTGTAAAGTAAAATGAATTGAGTATTTCTTAATTTGATATAAATTTAACTTTGGACGCTTCATTTTTTTTTCGAGTAGTATTCCACCAAACCTACCCTGTCTCAGCTTCGACAAGTCGTAGAAATAGGCCACTACGTTGAACACATCGTTTATGAACCATTTTCAAGTGCCCCACGTACCTCTCCTGGTTTGAGTCCCACCGGAAGAAAAGCCCTGCGATAGAACTGTTCTTCCTTGGTGCCTGAATGCGTCATAAGTTTTTCTTCATAGATAGCAGCATTTTGCTTGTTTACGACAGAATTCCCGCGAGAATTTCCGCCTTTTGGAATCGCCCCCGGAATCTGATAATGCACTGCGCACTAAGGTCTCTTCACGAACATTTTGGGGCTTAACTTAGAAGAGTCTTGGGAGAGCCGAGCGAAACATATTGTGAAGATATTGTACTACACGCAATGATGAGTCAAGTGAAGAAGTGTCCCGATTGATCCGCTGTCCTAGCTTCGCAAAATTCTTTGTTTGCGCCACCACGAGTACTTGGCTGTGAATAATTGGTCCTCTCCTTTCCCCGCGGCATGATTCCCGTCGAATCGATGCCGGGTCATCAGCATGCTCTATTTCCGAGCCTTTTCTTCTTAAAATCCCGCCGACGTAATTCACTCCGCCGAGACAAAATTTGCCGCGGCGAATAACTTCAATAGGTCGGATACTTTCGTGCTCCGATGGGGCACATGAAAGCGGCTCTCCCATCAAGCGAGTTTTCTGCATGAAAGATGTATTCGCGAGCCTGCACCAGTGCTGTTTGCACTCGCTAAGTGGGCCTTCCCTATTCGCGTCCCAGGTTGAACAGCCAAGTTTTCTTTCAGCGCCGAGGACCCCCGAGTTCCGCCTCGTGCGTCCCTGCCCGCGGGAGAGGGCCCTCGACGATGATGTGCAGCCTTAGTGAACGCAACTGTGTGCTTGTTCCCGTTAAACGCCGTATTTTTTTTTGTACTTGTTTTTTTCTTTCAGCACGCTATTGGATGCCCTGCCTGTGATAGACGGTTCGTGTCGGTAGAGAGTACTGTAGTGCGTTGCGAACGTAATCGGGAGCCTCGTTCGGATCCGATTAAATCGCTCTCTTTTTCATTGCTTTTTGGCACCATGCGGCGGAAATCGTCCTTGAAATACTCGTGGCCTGACTGCAGGAGTGGATCGACGTGAATCTCAAGTGGAATGAGAGCGAGTATGGAGACGTGAAGGACCTTCGCATCCCACCGAGGCGCATCTGGACGCCGGACGTTTTAATGTACAACAGGTGAGGAGATCCCTCTCGAAGCTCTTTGTCTCGACAATCTCTCAATTCGCTGAAGCCTCGCACTACAACAAAGGTGGTCCGTTAGTTTTGAGGCTTGGATAGTTGATGTCATCAGAGATGAACAAAACTGTTGGAAGTAGGATTGACTCGACTATACCACTTCTATACCACGAGGGTAGGACACCCCCTTCAAAATTTTGGGCTGGCCTCATTCAATTCACGATCAGCATAAGAATTATAAGTTTCTAGGGGGGGGGGGGGGGGGGTGGGGCGCTTAACACGGGCAAAGTATCATGATATCAAAAAAAAGTTCAAATATACAGTGTGACACGTTTACTGGAATGTGCCACACACTTTTTCAAACAAAATGTTGTCGTAAAAAACAGGGCACCTTTTGTACTCGGATCAAGTTTTAAATGCGCAGATGTATTGATTGAATGATTTCCAGCGATCAAAATGATTATTTTTAATCAAATTAGACCCTTGAAACCATTTCCAGTTAAAGGGCGCAATCAATAAAAGTCAAATTTCTGCTTGAGAACTGCGAGGATATTGAGCTGTTGACGAAATTATGAGTGGGATTAACAGACTGCTCTGATTCCAGAGAAATCGAATTTTAATGGAAGTGCATTTTATAATTTAAAGCATTTGTAAAAATATTTTTGAGACGAAGTTCAGGAAGAGGTACGTCTTGTGAAGCGTGTCAAATTATATTTCAGTCAAAGCAGTGCAGTATACTTACACTTTTAACAGACAAAACTAGAGTGATGTTGCATTTCATGAATCGGGAGGGGGAAAAGGGGAAAAATAATTCATATTTATTTTTCTAACTACTTATTTTCCGTGACCTCGAGTTTAGAATATTGCAGGACATAAGAATTATAAGTTTCTAGGGGGGGGGGGGGGGCGCTGAACACGGGCAAAGTATCATGATATCCAAAAAAAAGTTCAAATATACAGTGTGACACGTTTACTGGAATGTGCAACACACTTTTTCAAGCAAAATGTTGTCGTAAAAAACAGGGCACCTTTAGTACTCGGATCACGTTTTAAATACGCAGATGTATTGATTGAATGATTGCCAGCGATCAAAATGATTATTTTTAATCAAATTAAACCCTTGAAACCATTTCCAGTTAAAGGGCGCAATCAATAAAAATCAGATTTCTGCCGGAGAACTGCGAGGATATTGAGCTGTTGACGAAATTATGATTGGGATTAACAGACTGCTCTGATTCAGGAGAAATCGAATTTTAATGAAAGTGCATTTTATAATCTAAAGCATTTGTAAAAATATTCTTGAGACGAAGTTCGGGAAGAGGTACGTCTTGTGAAGCGTGTCAAATTATATTTCAGTCAAAGCAGTGCAGTATACTTACGGAAAATTGTCTGTTTTGATCTCACTACAACGTAAAGTACTTAGCCCTCCCCCTTTTCCCCTTTTTATTAAGTATAAATAAAAAGATTGATGAATAAAAGGCACTGGAGCTCAAATCTTATAACGTCCGGAACAATACTAAATTTACGCAACGAAATACTGTGTGCCATAATTCATTAATCCATCTTCAGCTTTGAAACTAATTTAAAATCGCTCAACTGGAAAAAGAGATGAGAAGAGAGCTTAAAGTTAGTTTTACCATTTCCATATCTAAATACGCAAGAGCAGGTCAGCGAATACTTTTTTTTATCCATCACTTGAAAAAAGCAATCAAGTCATCGTCGAATTTGGTGCATTGAGTAACACTGACACCCTTCGATGAGGTTTTCATCTAAACGGAACCCTTTTCAGAATATAGCAAACAAATCGTTTCCTGGAACTGGTATCAGTCTCAAAACTTACGGACCATCGATAAAAATTAACCACTGAAAAGTTAAGTGGCGAAAAGAAGGATTCCTCGGGAAGCATTTCGAAACCCCACTAATGGGCAGTACAGAACACGATTTACGAACCTAATCTTTATAATGCCTTGAAGTCGGAATTCTCGACAATGTCACTGCGACAATATTTCGTCGACATCGACATCCCGAAGTGACAAGTAATATTTCCCTAATAACTTCTCAAAGCGTCCCATGCCGGAGAAAAATAATCCATCAATGTGTCTCTCATGAGCATGCCATTTTCCATTGAAACCCCCGATCAATGATGTCGAGCGATTCTTTCTGAAATGAGCCGTAGCTTTTTTCGAATTTATCGCGTATACGTCATCGCGTTCTATCGTTACCCGAATCAATTGTTGGATGTATGATCGATTTTCCTCATACCGCGTCATCAGCGCTGACGAGGGCTTCGACGGCACCTTCAAGACGAACGTGGTTGTTCGGAGCAACGGGTCTTGCTTGTTCGTCCCTCCCGGGATTTTCAAAAGCACTTGCAGGATAGATATCACGTGGTTCCCGTTTGACGACCAGCAATGCGAGATGAAATTCGGATCTTGGACTTATGACGGATTCCAAGTGAGTACCCCGACCGACTGGCATGCACCTCCTGGGTCTCGCCTCGCTTCTGCGGGGCCCGAGAAACTTTCTTCGCTCCCACAGTTCGCTCGCCCGTTGCCTTCCCTTTATCATCCCAGTCCCTGAAAGCAGTAGAATGTTTTTTCCCCCATCTTTTATCCGAAATGTCCGAAGAATTTATTCATATTTACGAAATTCTTCCCGTAAAATCTCCTCCCACGCACCATTGCATCCCAGAATTTGCCTCGCCTCATTCTAGATTTATTCTACACGGCGAAACATGGCATACAGAACACCCCGTTGTGGGAGTTATGCACGAGCCTTTAGCCTTACCGCTTGTTACGCCTTTATAACTTCGAACGACATGAACTCTTTCTTACGTTTCTGTGAAAACGTCGTGCAAAGCGCTTTGTAATACTTCACATTGCTACGGCATGCAATTCACATCAGCACTAATTATTGCTCACCCGATGGCGATTTCGTCTGATTAGAAATAATTGCTCATGTTTTCCAGTTAGAGAATGGTACTAGAAGTCTGAAGAATTTCAAGCCATTTTTTATTTAATATTTTTCAATTTCATGATCGGTATTCAAAGGGCTGGGACTATGAAAAAAAACGATAAAAAATCTTCCACGCTATGTGATTTTTGTGAAACTATAAATGTTTGCAAGCAATTGAACAGTCATCGGAGTCCAACTTCATCTTCTCAGCATTTGAACTTTTCGAATTCCTTCACTGCTGGTGTCTGGAATTGATCAATACTTGATGGACACACTTTTTAAATCATGCTTATGTCGTCGATGCACAATTTTCAAGAAGTATTCGACCGCAAGCAAGAAAAAAAATCCTAAAAGAAAGTATTGTAGTATACCGAATAAAAAGCTGCGCATCCGTACTCAGAAGTTTTTCAGATCTGCAAGTGATGGGAAGTCTCGAAGAATGTTGAATAAGTGAGCCGTTTATTCCGTAATGAATGTGTTTTCTCCTTTAAATTCACGACGAATGGTGGGATGAATTATAATGGGGTCTCTCTTGCACGAGATATTGCACCAGGAAATGGAGGCCGACTGCGTCTGAACAATATCACGAAAATGACTTCGTTTTCCTCAGATCGAGCTGAACCTGAAGGACGAGAATGGTGGTGACACCAGTAACTACATCACTAATGGAGAATGGGATCTTATCAGTGAGTACAACGGGGCCGCAATGCTCTGGAATTCACGGCACACAAAGCCTATTCAGAACACATTTCTAAATGCCATCAACCTACAAGAGTGTTTTGAATTTCACTTCGAATGTAGTACTTCTTGTTTTATCCAGGCCGTTTCAAAGTTAAAATCTTTTTTTGTTGCCCTGTATCATAGTTCGTGAGTACACGTCGGTTGTTGGGAACTTTTAAAAGACTTCACGATATAACCTCGATTATCCGGGCGTCGATTAAGCGTGAGGTGGATAAAATTGTCCGAATTCTGATTAGATCATAAATGATGAAGCAGTACATCGAATTTCAAGCTGTATATTCTTCTGAATTTTCGTCGTATTGGCTCGCATTGATCGTGGAATAATAATAAACAATAAATCTGGATGAGCAGGATGAGAACCAAAACTTCAAAAATTGATTTTATTATTTTATCATGGAAAAAAGAACGTGCTCGTTTAAATTAAAAGTTCAAGATGGCAATAGGCACATTTATTGATCGTCAAGATTCTTTTAAATGTCAAGAAAATCTCGCTATAGGCGATTGTTCAATTTATGGTCGTCATCCTTGATCGCGGTTTTCTTTCAAATTTTTTAGTCGGCAATACTGTATTACTTAAGTGTGGCAGATGGGCAGTCGGCCGTCGGTCCGGATAAACGGGGGTCTAGTACAGTGCTCCCAACCCGTGGTCCGCGGACCAGCGCCGGTCCGCAGAAGTTCTTTACCGGTCCGCGGGAAATTTTCAACATGATGCATTTCTTAAAAGTAGCAATGAAGTCTGTCATCGTGATCTAAAACTTTGGAAAGGCAATGGCAGTTGAAATCATTTGATGAAAAATAAAAGTTGGCTTTTCTCCTAAGAACATTTCGAACACATTTTTACCTGCTAAAACCAATTATTTTAATTTTTAATTCTGAGAAACCTTTCTTCTAGCCCACCTTTCTAAGTTTTTGATGACATTAAGCTATAGCTGCTGTAGAGGTGCTCAACTTAATTTTTGCAGGAAGCAGAAACTTGTAGATTCCTGCCATAAACTCTATCACGCGAAATGTTTTCAAGTCTGAGAAAATTTTATGAAACTTTACCGGTCCGCAAAAAATTGTTTGGAAATTTGCCGGTCAACGGACCTAAAAATGCTGGGGAACACTACTTTAGTACTCACGAAATTCTGAACACGAGATAAAACGATGATCGTATGCGAGCCTGAAATAGCTAAGGCCGTTTTTCTTGCTTCGATGTTGGCATCCCTCGGTTTTTAACTTTTAAATGCATATCTTGGTGACTTTCGTGCTTCAGAACACGAGAAGAGCTGTGTAATCCCTCTGAAGAAGGTGCACAGGATGAATGTCTAATCCTAGTCGCTAGCAATAACAAAGTTCGGTTTCGAACGAAAGGCAGATACAATTCGTGGGTTTGTGTGCAACTGCTCGGACTCAATCCGTGTTCCGCTCCATTTGAGCTTCATGAGTCCGGTCGCCGACTGGGGTGTCTTTTGCAGACGTGCCGGGAAAGAAGAACGTGATGACGTATGCTTGCTGCCCAGCACCGTACATCGACATCACATTCGTCATCCACATTCGACGAAGAACTTTGTACTACTGCACGAATTTGATCGTCCCTTGCGTGCTCATCTCATCCATGACCCTGCTGGGGTTCACGTTGCCACCCGATTCCGGGGAGAAGCTCACCCTCGGCAAGTATCCCTCTCCATTCATTCATGACGCATAAGTAACAATTAAGGTTCATTCTCGAGAAGCATCGATGAACGAGCGTACGAGTGGCACTAGAAATAATCAGATACTACGCTTACGTTCGTGGGTCTCTTGCGAGACGTTGTGAGGAAATCTTTGGTTTCGCGGGAAGGACATCGGAATCCGGTGTCGAGATTTGACCTTCCTGTGTCGCGAGATACCTTGCGCTGGTATCTTCTGGAATGAGCAGGAAGGTCAATTCTTTCACCCCGAGATAACATTGACCGTATTCCAGGTTCCAACTGAACGAACTAATCCTAGTTGATATTCTTTTTTTTTTTTCAGCTACGCGCTTTCGTAATCCTTGCTTCGGATATTGTACTGTATAGTAATTCTTTTCAGCCTGCCGATTAACGAGACGTCAAGATACTCATCGTCTTCATTAAATCATTACTGTTTTTTTCTAAAGAGAAAAGCATGATCTGCTCTGCCCCCATGTTCGTGTTGAACCAGACGACCCTTATTTTAATACTCAAGGATGGTGTTGTCGTCTAAATAATGAGGTCGGATGCGATGAAGTGATGCAAAAAATAATGTCCCGAAGAACACGCGTGTTTTTTCGAAGAAGTAAAAGAAGTCCGTGCTCGAGATCCGTGGCTGACTTTGATTCTCTTGCAGGCGTGACAATTTTATTGTCGCTGACAGTTTTCCTGAATATGGTGGCCGAGAAAATGCCAGCCACCTCGGAAGCTGTGCCTTTGATAGGTACTCGAACTCGAGGCCATCTTCCGTTGCTTTCTATAGTTTCTTGTGGAAAATTGAACATGACCGAAATCCCACCACTGCATTGCAGCATTATCAAGATGGTCGCTTTTTTTTTTTCTTTTTGCACATTCCATGAAACTTATCGTTGTATCTGCCATTTGGTGCTTGGATCTCTTGTAATTCTTGTTCTTGAGACTGGGTATTTCAAAGGCTGTGCGCACACAGGGCACTATTCCGTATTCGGGATCATCATGGCTGAGGCCTGGTGCATGTAGGTGTCAGAAATATCCGCCTGGCGGGAGCAACACTTCCCCCTTACCCCATTCCTCTGGACATCCGGACAGAAACAGTGCCTAAGCCAAAGCTACCCCATCCGCCCGTGCTATTCTCCGGCTGCAGCTCCAGTAGCAATAACGGCATCCTGTGCCGAGTTGAAATGCCCGTGTTACACCTCTTTGGATGGCTTCGTGTAAGAGCGAACCATGCATACACGCTCCCTCAAATGAGCATTTTCCAAAGATTTTTTTTTTCTTCGAGAGACGAGCGAAAATGATGACGGCCAGATATGTAACAATAGCATGCAATCCAAAAAGCTGTGCCAGTTTCGATCGACTCAAAAGCTTGTCGTGATTTCATGTTTCCAGTCTAGTGAACAGACAGTTGAGGTACTTGTATAAGCGGTACAGGATCAACTTTAAAAGATCAGAACTTCACAACGAGATAAACTGCTGAGTGCATCTGCTCGACACGTGAACCATCAGAATAGACGCATGGCTTCCGTTCTTCAATGAAAATTTAATCCATGCAAACATTCAACGAGGATATATGGAAAATACTGTTCTGCACTTATACACTTTTCTTGGAATACGAACATTTCACCTTTAATCTAAAAGCGTTATAGATTCATTTCCAGTCGGTAAAATTACATACAATTTGAAAATCAATTGATTTATCGAAAATCCATTATCGTTTATTTGAAAATCGAAAGGTTGAGGTTTCTAAGTCGAATACCGACCAGCAGCAAAATTCGACTTCGGGAAATGTTTGAAGGTAGGGAAAGTACAATTCTCACCTTGAAAAAAGAGTTGAAGGAATGATAAGAAGCAACCTTTTTGTCAAAAACTGACTTGTAAAGCAGTTGACAGAATGCTGAACTTGGAGGCAAGTGTTCATTTATAGTTTTTCAACGCATTTCAAAAAGTGCCAAGGTACTTTTTTGTTCCTTTTTTCCGTTGGTCAGAAAAAAATGGAGAAAAGACCTCCAGAAATTTTAGATATAGAGGTTTGAGCAGGGAACATTTCGAGTTTGAGAGGTTCTAATATTTTTTTCCAAGGGGATTCAGAGAAGGACTTGAAAAAAATTTGACTGAGGGAGGTATAAAGACTTGGTGAAGTATCCGTTGAAGCCAAGAAGACGTTTATGAAACTAATTATCGTGAGTTCGTTCAACATTTCATATACACGTGAGAGTTGATCAAAGATAAATTTTATTTTGGCTCGGAAGATATGCAGAAAGACCACACATAACGTAGGAGTTTTGTTGCCGTTACGTAAATGTCGGTTCGGAAGTTCTACTAGTCGGGCATTCCTGGCTTTCTTCAGCATTGTTTTGATTGATGGATTGATAAGGATTGAACATTTCCTTGAAGTCGGTGCGGAGGACATTGAACAGCCCCGAAGTGAAGTTGATAGATGAGGTTATGTGAATAAAAGCTTTATTCCCGAATTCTAAACGCCCTTTTGAACTAAACTATTTCCAAGTGCAGTACTGGAAAATCTTTTCAACCAACAATCCCACTTCCTTCTCTCTAAAATACATTTCTCTTCGATCCTGTTTGTGATGAGGTTACACCAGTTGACATTGGTTTCACCTTTACATTGAAGTACTGCAGTTCACTCCGGCATAATTGAACCGGCGAAGATTAGGTGATAATTTTACATTTTATCGACCTTGGATCTTTGGTGAGTAAATTTAGGTCACCTCATCAGTTGAAAGTCATCGATCCCCGAGATGAGGAAGGACTTGAAAGAAGGCACGTGTGATTGAAGCATCCCGAAGAGGCGTTTTCGCGTGGGTTTACCAGTACAGTACTGTACAATATCTTGTGACGCATTCCCCGCTGGGCCGACGTTCCTGACATCTATGCATCGGCATGCAGTGTGTCATAGCTTCCAAGTTCAGCTCTTCAATCCTGAAATACTGTATCATACTAACGCCAGCTGAGGGAAAACTGATTATTCAAAAAATTTCAAGATTTGAATCATTCGTATTTCAACGGAGATATTTTCGCATGCCAGGCCTCATCCATCAACATTCCACAACTCCTGGTCTTCAACCACTGCGAGGATTTTCGTGTTCTGCTGTCACGCACTGAGAATAGATGATGTTCGAGAGGTTTTAATTCGAGACTTAGGCAATCAGAAGCAAACTGAGAAACCCTGCTGAATACTCGTAAAGGCCTTGGGATATTCGTTCAACGTTAGAAACAGATGACGAATGCATGCCTTAGGAATGTTTCGGACGAGAAAACGATTTCGTTATGCACTCATCACTTAGGGACCGCAGCAAAATATCAGACGTTCGATGACGAACGTTCATACCATGAAATCGCTTTGACTTTTTGATTCTCAATTTTGTTCGCCTCTACATAGGACCAATTCCGTCAACCAAAGTTTATTTTTTTCCCTGGGCTGGTAGTCTGCAAGTTTTTGGCGATATAAGCGACACTTCTGCTTCCCCTCTGGCACAATTGCGGCTTTCCAGCAACGTAGGGATTTTTAGCGCATCGATCTGGACGTTACGTTTTTTTCTTCAGAGGGGAGCATGGGCCCCATGACGTATAGAACTTGAAATAGTTTTCCGACATATTTTAATCTCGTGTTGTATTTCTGGAAGCGTATCATATTCGCAACTCTGAGTCACTCTCCAAAAAGTATTAATCCCTGTGATTACCAGCAGAGACGACACAAATTTTATTCGCATGAAGTATGTCGGCGTTAAATTTTTGAAAATATATTAGTGAACTTAACTAGCGAGCTTTCAAAATTCGAACTACGGTATTTTTATCTGATAGTCGGCAAATAAAAGTTGTCAGCAGATGATGAAAAACGAAATTTTGAGGGAAGTTCAACGTGGAAATGAGGCCGCTTCCAATGCATCAGTTTTTTCGCCATCGTTGGCGAAAACCCTTCGATACCTGATTTATTAGTAAACGGCTGAATTCCGAATTTAAAACGAGAATCGATTTTCGAAGTTTTGCGCTGACATTTTGGTCGCTAATCATGTCCCACGTGGAATCTTAACTTCCGCTTTGAAAATGACGTTTTCACTGGTGAACCGTGCGCACCTTTTTTCCAAGAGAGTACTGAAGCAGGAAACAAGTGGTTGCGCGTCATAAACAACTATTGTAGATTTAAAATATACTCAAGTTTGAGGTTTCCTCAATTTTCTTCCTTAAAATAAATTTGAGTGTCTCGCATAGGTGCGCGTGGTACAGGAGTAACTAAGGAGACTGTATATCACCAGTTTATGGTTTTCATCGAATTTTTCTGGCTCCAGAGGGTAGTTAAATCAACGGGGTATTGCTTTTCATGTGAAAATTTGCAAGTGACAATATTATAATGAGTTTTGTGGTCTGTTCCATTTAGGTGTTACCATACTCCTATCACTAACAGTCTTCCACAACCTAGTTGCGGAGAAGCTGCCCCAAGTGTCAGATGCCATGCCCATTCTAGGTATTTGAATATTCTGATATATTTTTTCTTGTGTGAACTGGACCTCTACCCTGTGCCTTTATGGTAGGCCTTCATTTCTGTGTTCCGCGACTTGAACTAACTATCCTTGTGCATTGCTCTAAAGAATTAAACTGGCTTCCTAGCTTCAAAGTATGGGAAACTCTCTTGAATGAGAAATCGCGGCTTGAACTGCCAGGTTTGAATGATTCGGTAAAGAATTCATCAGAAAACAATCATTAGCCTTCCAAAATGAGGAAATTTTAAAATGCATGAGACAGACCTGACTGTTATTTGCAAGGCATGACTCGGTGTTGTGTGTGCCAATGTCATCTAAGCAGAATGACATCTTAGTAATACAGTACATTTGTGTTCAGGAAAGCCCATGCAGGGTGGAGTCAAAACCCGGATTTTTTGCAAGAACTTTTCATTTGTACGGCTGCGCTTTCTTTAATCTTAAAGTTGAGCACATATACTGAATCATCACATGATGCAATTCATTTCCTCTTCGTTTTTAAAATTACTACAAGACGATTCTATGGAATTGGTACAAACTTTGGCACGCAAGAAGTCCATAAAGAAGGTTACCAGCACTGTATTTCGAATTCTTTTATGAGAGAGCTTCAAGCACAGTACTTAAGCAACGGTGGGGGTAAAAATATCCAAATTATCTTCTTTAAAATGTTTCCAGTCTTTCAAATTGCTGTGAATATGTACAGTTATAAAAATAAATTTAAAATGAATGAAATAACTTTAAAATAAATGTAAAAATAGTTTCAATTCGTATCAATACTTAGTCTTGCATTTCAAGCAAGCACGCTAAATTACATGAGATATGATGTATGTTTCAAGTGTGTGTGATTATGGCTGCTTCTTTGCTTTCCATGATCATTCAAATGATCCCAGAGAAGAATTCTGGATCATTTTGGCCGGCTATTCATGGTTCAAATCATTTCTCCAGTAAGTTTAAACAACTTGAACTGTAAACAGCAAAAAAAACCCTGTCCTTCATTCGTTAATAATGTACTTCCCTGCGTTAGTGATGGTTGTCTACTTAAGCAAGAACCTCTTTGGGCATTCGTCTGAGTACCTGTATCTTAAACCGTGCGTCATGCAGACCTCTGAAGAGTATGTTTGTCCACGGGAGAAGACCAGCGACATGTCAACCTTGGACTGTTTTTAAAGACAGGTAGAACCTTTTTCCACAAGGCTTAGGATGACAGAAAGTTAGCCAAGTTTTCCAGAAAACCAAGTTGTGCTATAATTTCCTTTTCTTCCTCAACCTAGCAAAAAATAATAATGCTGTCAACTGTTTTAATTTTCAGGTGTGACAATTCTCCTGTCTATGTCAGTCTTCTCTATTATGGTGTCAGAGATTTTGCCACAAACCTCTGACGCGGTGCCACTTCTAGGTTAGCAAATTGCAGCAATTATTTCTCTTTCCGAATACCTTTTCTCGCCTTGATCAACCACATAGATCATTCTGGAAGTACAATGAGAATTGCAGATTTGAGTACCTGCACCATTGGTAAATCAATATTTTTCATCCCCCCGCAGGCTTGGCAGATCTTTATTTCCTCCTCAATAATGTCCATATAGATAATTGCACTGAGTGGCTTCAGGTCCGTTCTCAGTCTTCATACATTTCCATCTGAAACACGATTTGCACAACGAGGAAACTTTTTCAACATCATGCAGTTGTTTTCTTCCACTGCCAAGTCTGACTAAACATTGCATGAGGCTGTAGATGATTTTAGGATGGAATACTGGTATCTGTTCCAATCTCAGGGTTGGTTAGTTCCCATGCTGGAAAAAAGTGTCCAGTTGAGAATTTTGCTTCGTTGGCTTATTTCTTGCTTGTGGTGCAAAATGATAAAGTCCTCCTGGCGGAGATGTGTGTAACTGTGGAAGATTATTCAAAAACTGCTTTGCATGAAGATAAACGGTTCGATTGAGGCCATGCGCCGGTGAAGCCAGTAATGCTCGAATTCGAGCAGTAACCAGCTAGCGATTTAAACAAAAATCTGCCCTTGCTCAGCCTTTTTGCGTTTGCCATTAATGGCCACCTGCTCGCTTAATCAATGTCGAAAGACGGTTATTGGCTACAAAATGCTGTCTACTTGACCGCTTCCTAAAATACTGCACAGTAGCAACATTAAACAGCCCTCAGAATCTCCCAGAACCCCTGGCTCCTACGCACCACCGCATGATGGTTTGAGCAAAAATGCATGACACTTGTGACGATTCTTGTCCTGTATGACCAAAAAAGAAATGGATTGTTGGACGCTTGACCTGCAGTTCTCTGCACCAGAGCAGACACTGGATGGAAACTTTGAGAAGAGGTGACGTAAGAAAATCGTGATTTGACTTTTGGCAGCGGTGAGAAAGTCCTTGCCGTAAGTCTCCTTCTTGGTAGTCTGTGCTTCATATGATTCCAGTGCTTGCTATCGAGCTGCATTAAAAAAAATCTCACATTCGGCATAATCCTGACTTTGTGTCCGCTAATTTGCTGCGACAAAACCCACTAATGCTACTTTTGAGCTCCAAGAATCAAATGGCTTGTAGTTGACCATCCGCGCAATTCTGCAGGGTTTGACTACACCCACACTCACCAACATTGCGTTAAACCCACAAATCCATGCTACGAAAGTATTTGCTGGGCCCAAAAGACATTTGCTTTTGGCATCCTAAACTCCGTCAATAATTATGTGTAAGTAAATAAGGCGATCTTCGGCTATTTCCATTGACTGACTTACTCCTGGAAACACGAAGTGTTTCCAAATGGAGTATAAGCAAATGCGAGTGGTGGCAATTCGGCAATGCTTCTTGCATGATCCACCTCTTGGTAGTATTCTGTCCATTCTAAAATTTGCGCCTCCCAGATTTTTTCGGCAAAGCTTTCCCAGCTTGCCCATAGATGTCCTGCTTCTCTTGACTGTAGTCATTTTTCTGTAGATCTTCTAGCCAAACTTATCGCCTGGCAGCAGGCTATTTAATAAGAAAAATGAACCCAGCTCACCCATAGGAAATTGCCCTGTAATACATCAACTAATCCATGCTGTAATGCTGCATTTTGATGCCTAAATGCGAGAAAAGGTCAGCAATGTCTCAATTGATGCTGATAAGGTTTCCTGAGAAGAAAGTAGAATGTGGAACTCACTCATCCATGCCCCCCCCCCCCTTCAGCTGTTGCTGATAAAGAATGAATGAATTCGTTATTTTACACCACATCGAGCAAGACCCCCAAGAAAAGCTACAGATCTGATATAATCAGTGTTTTCACACGAGCGAACTTCATCGCTAGCTTAATTGAAATACAATCTTCGGAGTTAAATTTTGCATGAATATTGAGCTGCTTTTCTGGATCTAGAAATAAAACGCATGAAAATCAGAATTTGCAGTGGACAATGAAAGAATGAAAACCAGAAAAGCATAATTCCCTGACGTGCATAAAATGATCCAGAACTGCGTCTCAAATGCTTTCAGGCTCTGATTTTAATTTTCATCTGTCCGTCTGTTGTATTAGTTTCTTTTTTGCTAATGAGTCTAGTTTCATCCGGATGCAATGAATTACTCAACTCATTCAGGCCGATGCTCTAAAAAAAATTCTGAATGGATTCCAGGTACTTACTTCAACTGCATTATGTTCATGGTTGCGTCGTCAGTGGTGCTCACAGTTGTAATCCTGAACTTTCATCACCGCAATGCAGAAACCCACGACATGCCGAACTGGGTCAGTAGCGTTTAGTGAGGCAAAATATGTGATTACTAGAGCATTTTTCCTCTTTGTGGAATTACTTTATCAATGTAAGAGAAAAGGGAATCCGAGGGTCATCAGAAATATTTATTCAACTTCAACATCCCCTTGATCATCACCCGATTTACATCAAAGCTGAGTAATGACGATTTGTCATGCAAATTTATGCATGTGTTCTCGATCAATGAATGAAAGTCCTTGTCAAGAGAGATTCATACACTGATTTTGGTGATGGGTTCTGTAACTGTCAAAAGCAGAGGGATGTTTGAAGTACACTGGTGACTGTGCTAGCTTGTTTTCTCACTCCTCATTAGGTGAAGACGATTTTCCTTCAATGGTTCCCCTGGATTTTGCGGATGCATCGCCCTGGCAAGGAGATTACTCTTGAGTAAGTCCTCTCTTCAGTACTTCCAAAGTTATCAGAAGTTCAGGCATTCCATTAAAATGACCAAAATTGGAACGTGGGATGTTGCTTCAGTTGTGTTGTAACGATAATAAGATAATTGCGTAATGCAGAAATGCCACAATTCAAATGGATTTTCTTGGGAACCCACTCATATCCTCTGAGAACATGTTCCTGCACTTCAAAAAGCTTTGGATAAATTGAGATACTGTAAGTAATGTGTTCGAAGTACAGTACATGAATTTGTGTTACATCTGAATTGAATTCCAGAAGATAATTCAAACGATGTTCTCCCATCAATTGTTTCCTTTCAAGTATTATTTTTTTCGCAGTTTACAGTACAGTTTATGTGTCAATTTATAATTACTCTCAAGATGCTGATTTGAAGAAAAGATGATGATTCGTCCGATTTATAGCTTGAATGAAAGGAAATTACGTAATTTAGACCCTGGATGGTACGATATTCAATGCAATAATTGTGTTTTTTCGTGAATGTAATTCTTTCAATAAATAGCTCAAGCAGATTATGATTTTCAATAACACTGACCATGAATACGTCATGCTGACATTTTATTTCTTATATAGGAAGGGAATCGGTGGCAAGCTTTATAAGATTCAGCTGTTTTCTTAAAACAGTGGTATTTCCTTCCCATTACTCGTCTCCAATTGAATTAAAAGCACTTGTTGCGCCGGTGATGCGCATAAATCTAAAATTTTTGAAATGAAGTTACTTAATTGCATCTGTGAAGAAAGATGAAATAAAACATGTAGCCTATTCAACAAATAAATGAATAACTTTCATATGCTCACATGAAATCAAAAAGGTTTTATAGATGTTGGTTCATCTTGAATATGTTTCTGTGCTCATTGTTTCAACACCATTTTGCTGGCAAAAAGGGATGATGAGTGAAAAAATATTCGTGCATTCAAACTCATTGGGTAATATTCCAGACTCCATCTAGGAATCTAGATCACTTCCATTTCATGTGTGTGAAATCACTGGACTTGATTCGCCTTATTTTTTTCAGTTCCATCATCATGAACAGAAAGCTGCAAGAGCTGAAGAGACAGCAGCAGCCTTCCAAGAGCTTGATGTCAAACGTGCTTGACGATGATGATCTCCGGACAGGAACCGGCTTCATGCGACGCCCAGGCATGGGTCCGGGCGTTGGTTTCGACGATCTGCACTCAATGACGCTCTCCTCGCACACTTCACATCCCTGCTTAGCTGGTTCGCAGCGAGAATTAGCCTTGATCCTCAAAGAAATCCGCTTCATTACGGACCGGATGAGAAAGAATGAAGAAGACTTGGAAGTGACCAGCGACTGGAAATTCGCCGCGATGGTCCTGGACAGAATCTGCCTCATCATTTTCACCCTGTTCACCGTCGTAGCGACCGTCGTGGTGTTCTTATCAGCTCCACACTTAATAATCAGCTAGTAATTGTGGACCTTTTTTGTTCGACTTATGCATTTTTTTCTAACGTTTTTGGGACGTGTTTCATGCACTCCCCTCCTCCCTCAGAAGAAAAAGGTTGTTGCCAGTTTGGCCTCAACCTCCAGTGATCTGCGCGTTACGCGTATTTATTGTTTGTTTTGAACTTGCAGTTCGGTTGACTTAAGTGTCCACGAAATTGCGACGCCTGCGATGGTTACACTTGCAACCGTGTGCGACCAATCGATTTAATGACAGCAATTCCGTAATTTCGAGAGTGAAGTACAGTAAATCCAGATGGGTTTACTGTGGGGGTAAAATGGCGAGCATTAGCGCTGCGCGTTCCACACGCACGCCGAAGTGAACTTGCTGGCTCACAACTGAAAAAAGCTCGAAAAGCACTTTCAATTGGTTTTTAAAAATTAGCCCCTGAAGGAGTTTTAGCATCCTCAGGCATTTTTTGTAGCTCGCGGGGGATTTTCTCTTAGCATTTTGAAAGGTTTTTCCAGTGTTTTGAAGGATGCTAGTCCCAGAGACTCTGCTTCAAAAAATTTCAGGAGTTTAGCAACCCTAGGTGTTTGAATCCAATTTTCAGCTGCATTAGCCATTTCATATCCATTTGCAATGCATTCATTAAGAAGTTATTGCTATTTGTGAGTGAGAGTAAAAACGCAGCTAGTGTGTAAACATCTGTTTGTCAGGAAGGATAGCTCCAAGCATGAATGACTCCGGTGCTCATCAAAAAACGGAAAATATATTTCTTCTTCTGAAAGCAGCTGCCGAGGTTTCCACCAAGCAATGCCAATCAGCCCTGTCTTCCTGGGTGATGAGAGCCTCAGAAATTCATTCTAAGTTTCCTTGGAAAGAAGTGGTTCTTCATCATCTTTGAGCGTGTGTCAATGAATGCTTGTGGCAGCATTATTTCCCCATTTTCTCGGTTTGTCAAACTGTTCCAATGGAAGTCTGTGTTGCAAAAAGTACTTTGCATTACATTTTGATCGGTATTATTTTCCCAGCATTTGTGTAAATCTCAGTACAGAAAGAAAAATGGCCTGATCTGCGTTATTCTTGAATGACAATCACGCTGCAGAAAAAAAGAAACTGGAAGTTCTAGTTATTCCAGAATCAAACCGTTTCCTGTTGGCATCATGGAATTTCCATGATGTGCTTACCTTTGATTGTTTAATTATTGATTAACCCTGAGAGATTACTCCCTGTGAATGTGGTCTTCCCTGTTCTCGGTCACGTTTGTTGTAGATATCTCATCATACAGTTTGTGTAGTTTCCTCAAGAAATACTAATACAGCAATGATTGGCTTTGATTTTCTCCCAAAGGAGAAGGGAAATGAATGCGACATGGTGAGAAAGTCTTTTTAAATAATGTATATAGAAACCACTGATTTTGGGCCTGTGATGCTGGTACCCAGAAAAAAAACTGTTTCTTTTAAGCATTACCGCATCTTCCGCTCAAGACATTTAATCAAGTCAATTTAATTTCTTTTCCTATGTTCTGTGTTCTTGATGAAATCAAGTATTTTTTCATTAAGAATTCGCTGGATGTTTCTCTGAGGACATGGTGTCCGAGGAGATCGTAGGCTTGGGGGTTGAGAGATTGTGAGTGCCAATTTTTGACCGAAATCCACGCCGGCATCACTTTTAGCACAGTATTCGACGCTTATACCATGTTCGTGCCGGCGATTCAATAAAAATGTTGGACAGTTTTGCCAGCAATTCTATGCATCAACCCAGCATTGAACCCCTAGTGAGGAATTCGTCCCATGTGAATGTTTCAGCTTTGATTTTGAATAAAATTTCTCGTGAAAAACTTTGCTTCATTCATTTCTACACTGCATTCGCATGATGAACATCGGTATGATAAATTTCGTTATGTGTAGTATTCGGTCCTTGATCTTGTTTAAATATACTCTAAGTTTGAAGGCATGTCAAATGCAGACAAAATCTTGATCTATCAATAATTGTAGATGTAGACACATTCAGAATATGCAATTCGAACTGGTGGAAATGTTGGTACTGAAGTATGCAATTAATATACCTGCTACATTCCCTGCGAGTTCCAGGTAAATATTTTCAGGAATTTCATGTTTGTATTCATCTGGGCACACTTTCTTGGTTTTAGACATCTGTCCACATCCACATCCGACTGTTCACGACCGGACCAGGTAGACTAGCTCTACCATGAAGACCTGCAAGGAACCTCAACACAGGCATAACAATAACGAGCCGAGAATCGCAAATTTATTGAAGAATCACGGACGAAAGAAGGGACACAAATGGGCAAATGCAGAAATTACTCTAAATGAATTGATCGAGGGTGGAAGACGAAAGCTTGGGCAACTGGGCAAGGGAATGTCCTTCAACAATTTTTACTGAGTCAAAGGCATGTCCTAGTGAAAAAAAGTTCTGTCTTCTCAAGTGCATTAATTAGGACAAATTAATTTTTTAATCTGTGATGCTCTTGTACGCGTGAGTAAGTAATGTGAATTCAACTGCAAGAGTCACAGTTTTAGAAGGCTGGCCCATAAGTAATAGCGAATTATTGCTTCGAAAAAAGTGTTTGATCCTACATTTTTTTAAATTACAGAACGTGATTAAAGTACAATATTTGCGACAGGAAGCAGAGGCAGAACGAGTTCAAAAAGGGTCCGCTGCCACTAATGCATGGAAATTTTGCTTTCGTGGACTTTTTCTTCGGTGCTCTTCGTGGAAATGAATTTCTCCGACTCCCTGTGAATGATTCCACTCAGAAGGAGAGACGAAAGATTTGCTCCCTCACTCAACAGATCAACCATTGCTGAGGATGTTTTGCTGCCATGTTTCAGGCTCGAATCTTGGGAAACTGCTGGTATTCGCCGATAATGTTGGTCTCTATAGGATCATTGCCGGATGTGAACCAAGTCAGCTTCCCTCTCCCATTTTTCCGTGATGTCACGTTTATAGTACAACAACCTGCCAAATGGGAACCCAAGTTTCTGTGTTTGGGAACGTGTCTTTCCTCTGACTTCCATGTGGAGCGCTTGGGTATGCCTCCTGCGATGTTTTTTTTCTCTCTTCTCGAAAAAATATTCTGCTCCTCACTTGCTCTGGGCACACATTTGCATGGCTTTTCAAAAAGTTTTTACAGGAATCTCAACATAGAGATGGGAATAATTCAAGTCCGTTCCTTTATCGACGCATGAAAAAATGAGATGAGGTGATACCAAGAATTGTGAACATTTCCTGTGACGTGTCACTAAGAGCTGTATTGCTGTTCAATAATGATTCATTTTTGGGAGGACATGAGGCGGTGGCTGACTAAAAAGTTTCAAGCGTGTATGTGAACCGAACTAAAAAGCGATTCATTTTGTGATACATATTTTTAACAAAAAGCTCACGCGTGCTTGGGTGGGTGATTCCTAATAATAAAGGTACGATCACTCCGAAAAATGAGCAAGAGGGAAGAGACAAATACAGTAATGTATACAGAAGATCACCCGTGTCCGATTTTGTGTTAGATACAATTATCTTTTCTTCGGACACTTATATTTCCTGATATATTACAAATTACATGATCCTTGAATTACTATATACGCATGAAATTTATTTTGCACGAAGCAAGCGGTATTCTGCGTGTAATGAATGAGTTTTAGATAAATTGCGGATTTTCGGAGTTGATTCTTCATCAAGTAAACGCAGTTTTGAAGAGGAAAGGGTACCTTTTCCCCTCAAACCTGTTCCATGCCTGAGAAAATGACCGCAAAAAATTGGATGAGAAAAAATTTCATTCTGGAGAATATTTGATCATGGGTGCTAGCAGATTAGCATTTCTCTCCCCAAACCGTGTGACTCACAAGCACGGGAGGATGAACGGAATAAAAGTTTCCTTCTGTTGAAATGTGCAGGAACGATTATTTCCTTTATTGCCAAAAAAAATTTATATATATACTGCACACCCTGCGCCAGGGTTATGAGTTTATTGCGCTTCACGTTCCCCAAGCCGAAACACTTAATTTTGTTTCTACGGGCAAGTTCTTCGCAGATCACGGTGTTCTGAGACTGAATTTGTAGTTCGCACGCAGAAACAGGGGCTGGTGTTGAATTCCACGGAAAATGCTCGAGGTAAGTTGGTTACCGCCGAAACTGTGCTCACAAATCACGCGCGTTCCTGACGTGGGAAGTATTTATGGGGGTTCAATTACTTCGGAAACCTGCTCCAAGTTTCTTTCTCAAAAAGGCTCCTATTGAGAGTTTCCTGTTTTCTCAGAAAACGTTCCGCCGCGGCGCTGCTCAACCCAACAGGAAACGAGGCATTTTCTGCTTTGAGGGACATCACGTTTTCTCCAACAGCTGACCTCATCTGAAATCGCATACTGAAACGTGGACACAGCCAATCTGAATACAAAATGATCATCTTAATGTACTCGGGACTTCAATTGAAAATTCCTTCACTGATCGGGAACCGGAGTTCGTCCGTTATAGGGGGAGAGAGCTGCCGAAACATTTCGAATTTGAATTAGAGCTGCGTGATTTACGTGAAATCGCGTTTAATGTGAAGTTTCAGCAAGTGTTAAATTCAGGTAATCTCGTGAGAATCACGAATTCCACAAATTTTCGAAAATTTAAAATGTATGATCTCACGGAAATCGAGAGAATTGAACAACCAATTAAACTTCACGGGATTATAATTTTTTTCATTTGAAGAAAAACTCAGGAGGGTACTTGTGAATTATTGTGCCGATCTTTGAGAGTTCCGGACCTCATAAATGTCATGATACAGTAATATTAGTTCAGATCATTGTCCAAATCGTTGAGGATCCATTAAAAAAATTGCACTTTTTTTCTGAAGGAACGCGGTTAGTAGCCATTAGTGTCTTCGAGCATCTGAGCACAGTGCCATAGCACAGTGTTCAGACAGACTCTTCGTATTTTACGAGTCGGCCCAACGAGAGGAGCATTGAATACCGAAAGAGCTATTGCACAGATTAATTATGCAATATCGTCAATCTAGAAACAAATAAGTATCGGTACTTGCTCTTTCTGAGAAGCGAAGTCAGAATCCTCCAGACGTGACTCGCACTGTGAACCGAGCACCGAAACAGAACATAGGGTATCAATAAAATAAATACGAAGGACGGATAAGCGAGGGACGAATGGCGGCAGAAATTGCACACACTAGGTCACTTCAGTTGCTGGAAGAGGAGTATCGAAGTGAGCCAAGAAATCGAAGAACGACGATAATCCTCATTTTGCCCACA